ACTCAATAAACTCTGTAATGCAACTGTAGCTTGTAACTGGTTGTTGCTGGTAATAATACGCCACGAAATGGTTGAAATATGCAGTTTATTCACTTTTTGAAGAAAAAGATAACTAATTGTACAGCACGTTAAAATATATGTCTTACACTTAGCGCGGGTAATAGCAGACTGACTCAATATAAAATTACAGTATGGCAGTTATGACATTTAAACTACCTCCATTTTAAATATAAGATTAAAATACAAAAATACCTTGAACGCATCGCTAACATTCCCCACCCCTAGTGCTGATGCAGCACTAATCAAATGTGATGGGTGCAACGCGCGCGGCAGATCTTGGTTTTCACGTCAACTACGCGGATTCGACCATCCTTACCAGGATACACTTGAACGATGGTCCCTTTTGCCATACGTTGCGAGTGCCGTTTGGATCGAAGATTAGAACTAGGTCACCTACCTGTAACGGCTTTTGTTCCTCGTTCCATTTCTTTTTAGGTAACATCTCCGGTAGAATTTCTTTAACCCATCGTTTCCAATATATGTTGGCCAATATCTGAGACTTCCTCATCTTACTTACCAATTTCAATATTCCGATGCTACTGCGAGTACCTGTTTCAGTCGATGAACTGCTTGCTCTACATTTGGGCTGGATTAAGAATATCATCGATGAATACTAGAAGTATACCTTTACTTATAAGCTCTCTGAAGATAATTGACACAAATCTCATTAAAGTTTTAGGATATATTGATAGTCCAAAAGATCCTCTCGAGAATTCAAATTGCCCATGGTGAGTAACGAAGTATATTGTATTGACTCATCACTGATTTACAGATAAAAAAATCATTTTTTTAAGTCTTCAATACTAAACATTTCTGCATCTTCAATTTATCAATGAAAATGAAGATAATAACAGGTAATAGAAATTCATCTTTTACAATTTTTTGATTAAGTGCCTTGTAATTTATAAAAACCTTTATTAAATCCTCTTTTTTATTCACCAATGACACTGGACTAGAATATTCTAAGTAACTCACTCCTATGATTTTCTTTTCTTCTTCTTCTAAAGGTGCCTCTCCAACTAGTGAAGGTTAGCGATTAGCATGTTCAGGTCCTTCTTGTCTTTAGCTCGGCGGAACAGCTCAGCAGCGCTCGCTATCCCGGTCCACTCTCGGATTTTCCGCAACCACGACTTCTTCCTTCCTCCGACCTTTGAACTTTGCCCATCATGATCAGCTGCAGGAGATCATATCTCTGATGTCTAAGAACATGGCCTAAATTTCTTTTATATCCCACTCGGATACCTGATTTTCTACAAGTTCCTGTTCTTTCGACGATAATTTTCGGGGGATGACGCCTTATCGGAATGTCGCCTTTTAATATTATTTTCTCTTAGATGGGAATATCTTTTTTCTACAGTGATTCTCCATAGTCAAGTTCTTGCACTTGTTTCCTTAGAACCAGATCTCTTAAAGTATCCACAACAGAAGCACAAACATCCTCATCAATTGACATACACCTCCAACCACTCAACATCCTAAGAATGGAAAATCATTATGCTATCCATCATTACCATCAAGAATCTTTCAAGAATTATTAACCTTTTATTAAACTATAGGGCACTTAAGTTTTATCAATTACATGAAATACACCATCATTACATTGTCCATCGACGCCAAACTTCAAATTACATTTTCCTATTGATTTCACTGACGGTCATCCAATACCCGATAACATTATACTGTTACTTTTTTTATTACTGGTTTTCCTATATATTCATAATAATCGGACGATATAATATACACGTAGCTGCCCGAATCAATTAGAGCTTCTATATTTAATCCACGTAATTTTATAATTTTCGCCGGTTCGTTTGTTCCATTTTTCTCGTTTTTAATCTGCATAATCTCTCCATAATAATGTTTATCGCTATCAGTTTTGCCACTCGTAGTATTCGAATTCGAATTGACGTGTGTTCCTTCGATCGTTCCGAACATAGTTGTTTCGATTGGTTGCTACAATCGGCCTGAGCTTGGTAGATTTGTTTTTCTTATCAACTATCGTATTCGTGCACGTATACATTATGACATGCTCAACGAGAAAACTTGACCCTAGAAATGAAAACGATTTAAGCTCATTTCGTAACATATAAACACGACTTACAATACATATCGTCTTGAATTTCCTACACCTATGTTACATCAATTTCGTATTTTTAAGCACCAACGATAACACGGTTATCACTCAGTCAAAATAAAAAACAAATTAAATAGTATAAGTCAAAATGTCAAATTAAATATCTAAACTAAACAAATTTAAGTGTCGTGCAGGTCCGTGAGTTGTTCAATTTCTGTTTCTCTGTCCTTAGCTCTCTCTAACCAACTTCTGCCAGCACACGCTACAATTTCGTCTGCCCATCAAATCTGTGGTCGACCTCTAAGTCTGGTACCTTTTGGTTCAGACCACTTTACTGACCGTAGAGTCCATCTATCGTCCTTGTAGCTGGCTACGTGGCCTGCCCACTTCCATTTAGCCAACATTGCAAAAGTTAAGGCATCGCATACTTTTGTCTTCTTTCGAATATCAACGTTCTTTACCTTATCCTTTAGTTAAACCTATAAGAGCTTCTTTCCATTTTTCTCTGGGTAGACTGAATTTTGTTCCTGGTTTTAAGATCGAAGATCCAAGTTTGGCATCCATAGGTGAGGCACGGTAGAAGTCCTGTATCCATGACTACTTTCTTGGTCTGTAGCGGAAGTTGCGATTTTAGTATTTCTTTTTGGTGCCAAAACTTGTTCCAGGTTATCGCCACTCTACGGTTTAGTTCTTCAGTATTTCTTTCCTTACTATAAGAAATTTGTTTTCCTAAGTATATGTAGTGGTTGGCGTGGGCCAACCTCGAGAGTGGTCTCGAGGTGTGTTATTTATAAAGATGGGCATTATTCTGCGGTTAGACATAATTTTAGTTTTATATAGATTCATTTTTAAACCAATTTTTCGTTCTCACCTGGTTAAATTCATTTATCATTTAATTATTTAATCGGTCAGGGGTTTCCGAGAGTAAAATTATATCATCGGCATATCTGAGATAACTTAAAAAAACTCCATTTATATCAATACATTTATTGGACCATTTCAGCTCTCTCATTACGTTTTGTAAGACGGCTATGAATAATTCTGGTGAGATCGGGTCTCCTTGCCGGACACTTCTCTTTATGTTGATTACTTCGCCTACTCTATCCAGTTTGACTCTACTTGTGCTGTTAGAGTAAATACTTTTTAGGATATTGATATACTTTTCATTTATGTTTATTGCTTTCAGCGATTCCCAGATGCTCTCATGTGAAATTGAATCAAAAGATTTTTAGTAGTAAATGAAAGCTAAATATTTTGTTTGTTAAATTCTAAATATTTTTCTATGACCTGGTTAACCACTTGGATATGATCCATCGTGCTGAAACCGCTTCTGAAACCGGCTTGTTCGATCGGTTGTGAGCATCGATGACTGGGGCTATTCTTTCAAGTAGACTGGAGGCAGAAAGTTTATAAAAACAAGACCTTAGGCTTATAGGACGATAGTTGCCTATATCCGCTGGGTCACCTTTTTTATGTAGTAGTAGTATAATAACCGATGTCATCGATTGATGTGGCACAGCTGCTTCGCCAAATATTTTATTTCATAAGATAGTGATTGATGTCAGTAGTAGATTCTTCGCAACCTTGATACATTCGTTGGTGATTCCATCCGGTCCTGGGCATTTTTCTGGCTTGAGTCTCGTTATTTGTTTTAATATATCATTTTCTGTAAACTGGTGTAATTCAAGCGCCTCCACTGAAAAATCATCACAGGAAGAAATAGACTGTTTTTACGAGGACCTAGCGAAAGCTCATGATTCCACAACTACCAATTACGTATTTTCTATAGGCGATTGAAATGCTCAAATCAGAATTTCAGAAAAGTACGAACGTTCCGCTACAGGAAAGTTTGGTTACGGCATCATTAGCGAACGAGGCACGAGACTAATTCTCATGACCACGAAGCACCGTATGATCTCTAAATACGAAGTACTGCCATCTTTTTCTTTCGGATCGGACTATAGACTACTTAGAGCAACATTATATATACCTAAATTCAACAAATAAAAGTAGCACTAATTTTTCTAATACATCCACTAAGTTAAGAAGTCCAGCGGAGCAGGAAAAATATCTTACAAACCTCTACAATTTTATACTAGATAAAAAATCATAACAACTATAACGTATAGGATTACTACCAACAAATCATGGACTACATCCAGCACGCGTAGCATGACGAACGCGGGAACGTTTTGCTTACATTCAAATGTCACTTTTCTCGGGTGCGCCCATACGATATCTCACCCTCGGCCCGAGAAACTGACAAATGAGTGAAGACAAAGTGTTTCTCGAGTTTGTAATGCTACGCGTGCAGATAAGCCTAAAAAACATTAAAAGAACACATAAAAACAAAATCTTATCCGCGAAAGCGCTGAAACTCATGAAAGAAAGAAGCGAACTACAAAATAAGCCCAAATTAAGCGTTGCTGAAAAAGAAAAACTAAAAACTTTGTACAAACTTACCAATAAAGAAAAAAAAATGTGCTACGCCACCTATAGAACAACAATTATTCAAAAACCTCAATAATACAAAATCTGCTAAGAAAGCTTATAAAGAGCTAAATCAAGCCAAAACATGGGTTCCTTTCTCAAGTTTGGCAACAACTACAAGCAACAGCAAAATCTCGCACAGAAATCATAAATGCGGCAACTGACTTCTACGTTAATCTATACAGACAATAAGACACACAATATCAAAACATGGGTTCCTATAGCTTCATAGATACCTGTCTCGATTATCTCATCAATTTATTTCCTGTTTCTTCCTGTTTTGTATTAATTTATGAATTATGTCGGTAAAGTTAAATTTTGTCTGTTGTTTAATTTTTTAAAATCTTTAATTAATATTGACACAACATGTTATCAGATGACATCAACTTTAAAGCCCGAGGATAAGCTGAAATCCGGCCACCGGCTTTCTCATCCAGAGCCTGGTGATGAAGTCTATATCACCGGTATATCGGGTTCCTTTCCCGACTCTGACTCTGTTCTACATCTGCAAGAAAATTTATTCAATAAGGTAAGGGACCTATTGATTTTTCAATTAAGTTTAATACAATTGTTTTGAAAAATTACCTGCTAAAGTATGTTTTCCAAAATTTTCATTTGGCAAAACAACTTTTCAGCAGTTAGCAGTGTTACTTTCGGAAATACATTTTTGAACAAATAATTACATGGCAATGTTTCATTTTACCAAATATTATGTAGTCAAATATGATTTGGCAAATCAATTGGGTCTTATTTGCATTGGCAAAAGGAATCACCCGTCTGCTCCGATCTATGAAAATAAGAAATTGGATATTTTATTTAGTGGGTAGGTATAACTTTCTTTCGGTGTATCTGAGACTAAAATATTCATTGTTCATTCACTTTACGCATTGATAAGTTTATAGTGTACTAGTTGTAATATTTATATTAACTTAATTACGGTGCCTGTTATGCTAATAATGAAAGAATCTACTAAATCCTAACTAAAAACGGAGTTTGACTGGCTTAATCTCTCATAAGTACAATCAGTAGAAACATAATCACTACTATTAATACTTATATTAATAGTAGTGATTATGTTGAATGAATGACGGTACTTGTCAGGTTCGGACATGTTTGCCTTTTTGGCATAAATAATTAAATAAAAGTAATGATCAGTGCTTTACCCCGTCTGTATCAAGGTCTATGAACAGTGTGTCCGAGGATATTCAGCATTGAAAAAGGGGATGCTCACATTTTCTGTGTCGGCTGTTGGATTGGAACTCGGGGCCTCCGGCGTAAGTGTTAGCATTTGTCCATTGAGCAACGGCATCTAAGCACGCATCAGTCAAATGCAACTATCGCATTCACTGCGTGGTTTCTGTTGTGAGTGAGTGATACGTCGCTTTGTAACGTACTATTTCATTAAGACAGTTGTTCGGGAAGCAGCCCTCGGAGTACCCACATATAACATTATATAGTATAACATTAATTAGAAAATTGTATATAATTAACACCTGGCCGAATATTGCCAAAAGAGGCTTATAATCCGTGCGCAATATGAAAGGAATATACCTTCCATAGAAATACTGGTGAAACCGTTTAACTCCGAAAACGATCGCCATGGCTTCTTTTTGAATCTGAGAATACTTTTTTTCACCTGCAGTTAGAGACCTAGATACATATGACACAGATCTTTCTAATCCATCACGCCCGATTTGCGAAAAAACGACTCCTAAACCATACGGTGATGTAACTACCGATAATATCACATTGGTATATTGATCAAAATGAGTTAATACGTTATCTGAGCTAAGGTATTCTTTTGTTTTATTAAATGATTGCTGATGTGCGTCAGTCCAAAACTATTTTGTATTTTTATTTAATAATTGATATAACGGATTGAGTGTGGTGGAGGCTATAATAATTAACAAAGCCCACAAAAATGACTGCAATTGATTAATATTGACAGGAATTGAGGCCTCCTTTATCACTTTAACCTATTCGGATGATTTTCATATGCCATTTTTATTAATCACGTTACCTAAATACTGCACCTCATCTTAAAAAAATACACATTTATCTTTCCTTAAAGTTAAACCAGACTCGCTGAGTCTTTTCGAGATTGTTTTTAATCTATACATATGTATGTTGTTATCTGGTGGTTCCGGTAATCAAAATGTCATCGAGTAGACAATCCACTCCGTCTAACCCCGATTGCATAGCTTTTTGGAAAATTGCGGGGGCGCTGGCTAAACCAAACACCAACCTTGTATATTTAAAGAGCCCCTATATGTGTCGATGCAAGTCAACAGCTGATTTTCATCATTATCTGTTAGTAAAATCAAGAAATCTTGAGGAACACCAAGTTTTACATGTAGCGTATTACTTTGAACATTATCAATCTTAATGGCCAGATAAATAACTATTAAACCAGTTGAGTGGTGGCACTTCAAGTTTTTTAAATTATGAGCATGAGACTGTATCAAATGCTTAAGCGAGATCAATAAAAACTCCGATAGTGTGTTCTTTACCATCTAGAGAGGCAGAGATAGTATTTGTTACCAGAGAAACGGCATCTTCTGTGGAGATTTTACGTCTAAATCCAAATTGTCTACTCGAGATGAAGTTATTAAAGGATATTATATCGTTAATGAATATTTAAACGACAAAACTCTTTGGTGTTAAATATGACTTATTTTTCACAAGTGTGTAGTGGTTGAAACCGGGCCCTCCTTGCAGGATACCGGGTTCCTCCACCTTTACGCGTGAGGTGAACCGCAGCGGGTTTTACCAGGTAGGGCTTCCACAATAACCTGCCCTTTTCGGGGCGGGGTGGAAGAGAAGCCCTGGTTTGAGGCTTAAGGTGCATTTCCCCTGCGTTAACAAAAAAAAAAAGTGTGTAGTGGTTGGATGCAGTTTATCGTTTATCATTTCATTTTTCAATTTTGATGACTCTGTATAGGGAGAAAAAACCGTCCTTGCCGAGTTTCATGCCGGTTTTTTTCGGTACATGGTCTCCCGTCATAGACTTACGAATCGATGGCATACAGTTTCGACTTTCACAGCCTAGAATGAATAAATGATTTTGACTTGATTTGATTCGACGTATGCTCATATGCTTCAGATACATAATACGAAAAGATGCTAATAGCTTGTCCTGATTAGCAACATTGAAAGCAAATGCTCAAGATGTTGACCACTAACCAGATGCACAGATCAAATAAAGAACTCATATGCTACCAAGTTTCACAATACGGTTAGAGATGCGATGGACATTAGCTAATAAAGACGAATAGTGCAATCCGGCAGTGGATCCTCCAGTGATGAAGTGTCAACTACAGAGATAATTTACAATAACAAACACAATATAACAACTTATTGTGTGTAACCGTATTATCCCATATTGAGATAACAAGGCGTCACAAAAGGTTATAAATATAAACTTACAGATAATTGTGAGATTTAAGTATAATAACAACATATGTTCTTCCCAGGTCGACATGGTGTCTGATAACGATAAACGCTGGAAGCTAGCGCATCATCCAAATATTCCACACCGTACGGGCAAAGTCAACAACGTTCACAAATTCGACGCAACTTTTTTCCGCATACATTATAAACAAGCTCACACCATGGATCCAATGGGCAGAATATTGCTTGAGAAGGCTTATGAGGCCATCGTTGATGCTGGTGAGTAAAATAAAGTTTAACTTAAAACGAAAAAATCAGATCATGTTGACCAGTGCGAGTTTGTCTTTAAAACTATAGAATAGTATTCGTTAAAACGAAAACTATTTGATTTATTCTCATCATCATCATCAGCGCTTTTACTGGCCAAATGCGGATTGGAGCGTATCAATGACTTAACGTGCCTTCCGAAGGACGAAGTAGCCCGAATGAAAAAGTAAAAATAATTCAGAAAGGACAACACATTTTCAAGATTTATTGAAGTCATTATAATATGGAGTAGTATGATATGCAGATGGCTCGACGTAAATTTAACTCTACTCAATTTATTTATGGTCCACAGGAATAAACCCTAGAGAATTGCAGAACATTAAAACGGGTGTGTTCATCGCAGCTTCAATCTTTGAATCAGAGAAGATATGGTTCTACGAGAACATGCAACAAAACGGATTTGGCCATATCGGGTAAACTATTCACTTCTATTTTGCTTGTATATTTACCACTGCTGTTCCTGAAATTTTACAATATAGTGTCAATAATTATTGAGAGTATAAAATGTTCTAGGTGAAAAGGCAGAGGCATACATTTTTGACCTAGGTCAAGTACGTTACGCACAATCCCTGCCACTAGACGTGACGTCAGGGGTTATGTGTGATACTCCCACGCTAACAGACTTACTCTGTAGGTGATCAGAGAGCCCATAGGCGGTTTTGGCTGTTTCCCGTTACCGGGCGCGGCCCCTCGGATTGCGGATGAAAAACAGCACAGGAGGCGAAACTCAGCTATCTGCAGCCGAGAGGAGAGGGGGTCCGTTCGAAGTCAAATGCATTTTTCAAGACCACGACTTGGGGACGTGGTTGGTGAACGGACGGCGTTCAGCTTACGTCATTGATGTGCGGGCAGCATGGGGCTTAGGTTGCCACTACCTGCGGGCGGGAGCTGCCTGGAAGAAAACCTCTATAAAAATTTCTAATACAAAAAAAAAAAGGATGAAGAAGGAGATAGACGAAAAAAATAAAGAAGAATATGAAAATGATAAGAGGCAAAAAAATACTAGCCCAGGAAAGTACGTCCTATGTCCATTAAGGTACATACGGCTAGGGAAAGACCTTCCTCGAGTCTTTGGACTCAGACAACCCCTCATATTATGGGGGGGGGGGCTAATTGACATATGAAATTAAGAAGTAAAGAATGACGCAGTGGCTCTTGAAAGGATAGTGGTGGTTCTTCAAAGGAAAAGGAGAAAGAGGTGAAGCTGAAGAGATCGCTCGGCATAACCCACGGGACGCCTAATTCCGAAAAGGCGGCAAAACGATCGATTCGAATGATGAAGAAGAGAGTTGCGCGTCAGAGGGGAAAACTATTCTGGATTTGGACTTCGGTTCGGAAATGACGGATGAGGAAGGCACAGAGGTGATAATGTTAACAGGAAAAAGAAAGATCAGGAGAGGAGAGTCTGAGTGTAGAAGATAGAAGAAGTATGGGATTAATAACGATTATGGACATATCAGGGATCATATATTCGGCTTGATTAAGTCTGGTGCAATAGAATATGGTCTGTTAGACGGGTCATTGCGCCGATTCCATAGCATTGCAAAAAGTGGAAAGACCCTAAGCACTGGTTTCTTCAGAACCTAGCTATTTTGCTCAGACGCATAAAGAAGAAGAAGGAGTAGGCGGAAAGGCCGGGGACTGTCATAGTCAACGTTGTAGGGATGGAGTCAGTTGGGGGGAGCGCCACGTCGACCAGCGCTCGATACCAAGGTAGCAGAATGTTCTGATGTATCTGACTCAAAGGCGCTACCCAAGAAGCGAGGCTACCCAAGAAGTTCAGCTCGATGGTAAGGCCGAGGTACATCAGAATATTTATTGGACAGTAAAGGGAGTTAAGATTGCCCTGTAGCGCATCTTTTCACCTTTTAAATAATTACCTATTCTAGAAAAGCACTCGTTATCATTACTGTTGTAAAATGATAGATCAAAACAAGAAATATATTACGGCTGATTTGATTTTACAACAGTATTAAAAGAACGTAACGCATCACCAAAATCGTTTGTTAATATGCATTGCGATGATGTAAATGCACTAGTTGTGGGCTGTATTACTACTATTAACTGTAGTTGGACACCAGCTGTTGCCGTAACCGCGCTAACCTTACCGCGACTGATTAACTGACACTGACAATCATTATTATATTGGTTTTCTTTGGCATGATGTACCGGACAGTGTATATTGTTCTTTTACTATACTAACAGATGGTGCCTTTATTAAATAAATATCATCGCCAAATTCGTGAAAATGATCTAACCGTGTTAGAATAGCGTCTAACATATCCCGTATGGAATCACTGCTACCATTTCTATTTTACGAACCCTACGGAGATTACAACTGGGACACGGCGAGCGACGCGTACGAGGCGAAACTTCCCGATCTTCATCGACGGAACGATGATGGGACCGAGATCTACTACCGAGATTTCCACGCGACCGCCGGCGTTCCGAGCTCGGATGAAATGCTGAATGCGTATTAGAACAAACGATTGCACACATTGGCGTACCTAAGGATTTTCCCTAAAGGGGACCGTGGCCCGTGGTCGAACGTGGCAAGGTGGTTACCAGTATTACCAACCTTACTGTCTTGACAATAGATTTGCTGTTTTCACATTGATGCCCCCCTGTTTTCTATTTCTTTTCTTATTTTAACTATATTTCAGTGAGCATTTTACGCCACCTATTACACATACTATGCAAATATTTTTGTTAACCACTGTACAAAGACTCTACTAAACGGCAGTAATTACTCTTGTCAGGCTTCGAAGAAATTCCCGACCACAGCACATAAAAAAGACCGTGGTCGGGCAAAGATCAAATTATGACAAATTACTTTAATAACACCTAAGGTCGCGCACGTGCGCATGTGCGCACATATCAATCCCGCACCGACTCCCGATGAGGCTCTCTAGCTTGTCCCTGCGCCCGAGGACACCTCTCTCACAAATCTCTTTACAGTATAAATAAATGGTAAGCCTGACTGATTTGATCAATGCACAACTGAAACTACTGTACCTTGAAACTTTAGTAGAGGGGTTCCTTTCATGATGTAGATAAAAACTTTTAGAAATTCAAATGGGGGGGTGAAGTTTATATGGAGATTTGTGATTTCTAGACTTAAACGTGTGAAAACTAGACGCTGGCTAGGCCACTGGCGAAGGGCTAGTAAGATATAACGCTCGATGGCGCTGTCGATAAGGACGTAAAGAAACTTACACAAAGAACAGGGTCATAGGATGGTGAATATTTTTTTATTATCCTCCGCAAGTTAATAAAACGATAACATAAAGCCTGATTATTTTCAGTTGTTCCCGCGCTATGCTCTCCAATCAAATCTCACGCTGGCTCGGAGTCACTGGCCCGTCTTATGTCATTGACGCTGCTTGCTCCAGCTCTCTGTACGCTATGGAACATGCATTTAGAGCGATCCGTGACGGTCACTGTGACGCTGCCATCGTAGGAGGGTCCAACTTATGTCTGCAGCCTTCCACGTCATTACAATTCTTGAAGTAAGATGTTTTATCTAAATATTCATTGCATTGTTGACTATGATCGTTATCAATTATCACAAGCGCGTTTTTAATTTTGTTTTAAAAAGACCGCTAAGGTATACAAAAAAATATATTTAATTACTGCATAAAAAATAAGTCAAACCTTGAAGCTTATGCTTATCACGACTTGTTCTTCTGTAAGTTTATTAATTAAATGATAGGCGCCCGACTTCAATAGTATTTTCTTGAATAGGTCGCTTTTGGTATAAATATTATTTATCGTTTTTTTAAAGTTTATATATTTTCCTTTTTAGTGATATTGATATTTTTATATAATTGGTAATATTAAAAATATTAAATACTATCTTTCCGCCAGCTACTTCGCCTGCATGGTCCTAGGGAACTGTATAACTGAATATCGACTGATATCGTGATACGATGACACGGATGTAATTACAATGACCCATTGAATAGTAAACAATCATTAGTATGGTAACAATTTCATTCCCTTTACAACTTCTAGTCCCATTTTCATCCCTTTATTTGCTGTTTTTCGGGATAAAATATAGCCTATAATCACCGTCAAAGACGTAGCTTCCCGTAGGTGACATTTTTAGTAGTTTCGGAGTCTATTCGTTGCAAACAAACAAACAATCAAAATTTTCAAAGATCTTTTAAAATAAAAATATTAAACATAGTGAAAATCTTAAAAAGATTTTCTTAAATCATTGTTTTCCAATAATTCTATACTCATATTAAGAGGAAAGATTTGATTGCTTCTGTGATTGCATTGGATTGGATTTAAAAGTACGGGAAACATAACAAGAGGCGGACCTAAAACCCCACCGCTCCGATTCCACAAGCGACTCGTTTATGCTCAAGAACCTTACAATAAGTAAAGCAACAAAAAATTGTATAGGTTTATTATTACATATGCGTTAGGTTAGGTTAGTGTATGAAAAACAACGCACGAGCCGAGCGAGCGTAGCGAGCGTGCCGCGGCAGCGGGCGGCGAAGTGCCAGAAACGAATCGCTTTTGTTGATGGTAACATTTGGTTTATAATGTTTAAAAGATGATCGTGACCATTTTAATTTCAATGTTGATTTCGAGGGACTTGAAAATTCGGGATCTTTATAGCGTGTATATATGGACCATTTGTGTAGGTATCTTTACCCACACTTTCACATAGGTAATTATGGAGAAAAGAAAATCCAATTTTTGACACTATATTTAATACTTAAAATATATTTTTCTATACTTTTACATTATTGAGAAAAATATTGAATATTATTGAAAAAGAATAAGAGACTATAATTTATTTAGAGTTTTGCTTGCGTTTTTCGACTGAATATTTCTTTTTCTGTTAAGCGTAAACTGGCAACCCTTTTTCTTTGATGTTTGGTGCTTAAACACCTTTTATTTGAAGACAGAATTTACTAACTTTTTGTAAGCGAATTCAAACAATAAAACAAACAACAAAAAAAGCAAAACTCAAATTTGCAATGGAGGCGGACTTCAAACCCCACCGCCCCGATTCCACTAGCTATTCGTGACCTCCCAAGCGAAAGCTTCTATTCTGAAACGAAGGCGAGCTATAAACCCCATCGTGTCGTGAATTGATCTATTTTAATATCTGGCCACGACATCGGTTCCCTTTTCATATAATAAATAAATCTTACATAAATAATGTAATGTAATAATGCAAATACAATAAATACTATATCTTGACATTTAATTGATTAATTAATGATAGTAGCACTGATGGAAATATATTTTCGATTTTTTTTTACATTATACAGTAATTTAGTAATAAATAAGAATAAGAGAATAAAAAACAAAACTTATTTTAAGTTTCTATACACAATTTATTTTAACTTTTGCTTGCGTTTTTCGACTGAATATTTCTTTTTCTATTAAGTGTCAACTGGCGACACTTTTTCTTTGATGTATGGTGCTTTGTGTCCTTTAACACCTTTTATTTGAAGATAGAACTTACTGACTTTTTCTAGGCAATTCCAAACTATAAACCCGAAATGACACGAGGCGGACTTAAAACCTAACTGCCCCGATTCCACCAGCTACTTGTTACCTCCCCGGGCTGTTCGCAGCCCGGGGCAACCAAGCGAATGCTAGTCTATAGTATAAGCCTACAGTTACGCCAAAGTTTGTTGCCCTTGTAACCCAGAAATATGTGCCTGAATGCCTAACAATATTCACAGATTGGGCGCATTTTCTGCGGACGGAAGGTGTAAAAGTTTTGATGAGAGCGCCAACGGTTATACCCGCTCTGAGGCCGTTGTCGTGTGCTTCTTACAAAAAGCCAAAGAGGCCAGAAGGTAATTAGATTAACTAACCACAACCTCATAACTGGTTACCAAACACTACATGTTGACAAAAAAATGAGTAACGGTCAGTTGCACAAACGTTCATTAAGGTTAAATGACGCCTTTAAGCTCTAATGAATGCTAAATTTATATGGGTAATGTCGCTTTAAACTAATGATAATTCTAATGGACGTTTGTGCAACTTACGGCATTAGTGTCAATTTACAGCTGATAAATTGACACCAAGGAAATTTAAAAAGGAAATTGTTCAGTTTGTATGGGCACTTTGGCTCTGAGTGGACATTATCTAAAGTTATAAAAAACTTAATTTTTTAATATTTTATATCTTAAGGAAGTTAACTGTTGTAATATTTTCACGGGAAAGTTTAACATTGTATATATATAAGCATGTGTAGTATTCCATAAACGATGTCAAAAAAGTATTTTTTTTTTGTAAAATACTTTAATTACCTTATAATCATATTTATTTATTTATGTTAGAAATAAGAAACAGAGATGGTTAAATAAAGACATTGGAGATTTACTCATATTTACCTTTAATTTTACAATTCAATTCTACAAGTAAATTCAGTACTTCTAAATACACTTATTTATCAGAAAAGACTTTACATAAAATTTAATAAATAAATGACTCTGCTCATACAGATTCTCTTCAGCTAGAGGCTGGCATTTGTGCAGTAAAAAAAGCAGCTACATTTATATACATAAGTTGGTCCCATGATGTCCTAATCTTTGAATCTTCCATGGCCTCTCCTGACCTGTGTTCAACCTCGAATACAACTATTCTCAGGATTTCTGCTCACCCTCAAGCACAACTGTTTGGCTTGGAGCGGCTGTAGACTCACATTTATTTATATCTATGCCTATTAACAGAAAGGACCATTTTAAAACATCTATCCAGTACATTTGTACTTAATAATAAATTAAAAATAAATATTGAAGTACTGGTACAGTATTCCCTAGCCTGTATAAATAGTAGCCTATATCATCCTCATGAAAGATGTAGCTTTCCGTAAGTGAAAGATTTTTTAAATCAGATTTGATCTTAACTGAATTAACTCCTGTTGAGGAAGACCAATCCAATAGCCCACGATGTCTTCAGGCATTCCTTCAAAGTAGTTAAAATCCATTGAAGATTTTTTTCTTTAACAAATGATGCATCATCTTAAATATGTTCTGTAGTAATGTGTGAATAGGTTGCATAATAGACAACTATTCAGCCCAATAATTTTAATATAAATGAGAACTAAAAAACCTACTGGTTTTTGATACATAAAAGTTAAAATCAACAAACAATTTTACCCGAAGCCATGTGGGAACTGTCAGTCGTTGGGGTGAGTTGCAACCGGGAACAAAATAATATGCTTGTGAATCAGGTGCTCTTTTATAATCCGGTAAAGTAATTATCTGTATAGGTTCTGGAATATTAGAAGGAACTGTTACTCTATGTGCTCGCCGCCAACATAGATGACAGATGTGATCAGATCCATGCATCTAAAAGAATATAATATATTATTAAATTATTTGTCAACAAAATGTTACTTAAAGATATACTATACGATATATAGAGGCAGCGACATATTAATGTTTTACTTGTCATAAAGGAAGCTTAATTATAGTAAAGTAATCATATAATAAATAAAAATAACTATAATCCTACCTGTCGTGGGGATATCCAATCAATCATTACATTTCGAATGTGTTTCTCTGTCGGATATTCTTTGCAGTAGATGCGATTTAGTACGTAATATAGATCTTCCACAATTTATACAAAGCTGCCGACGATGTCTACTACTTATGCTTGGTTCGGTGTCCAGAGGTATTCACGGGTAGGTAGCCGGGTCATCATCTTGAGAGGTATCGGAGTCCATTATCAAAGCAAATCGAGTTCACGGAAATAAATTGGTTGAAGATAACAACAAAACAAAACAAAACAAAACGTGACAAAAGTGAAATGGTGCTGCCATATAAAAATCATAAATCGATTAAAAAGTAATCGATTGTTTGTCTAAATTAACTTATATATTTAACCGAAAAGGATTATTTGTTATGTTTTGAATATATTTGATACATGATTTTGCAAAAGATTACCGACTGTATGTGTATTAATAAATATATACAGTAGTGCGTCGATTATCCGACTAATTGGGGGACAGGGGTGTTCGGAAAACTGGTTTTTTCGGATAATCGAACTGTATTGATATAGCTATACATATTTATTTATCCACGGGTGAATAAAAGCCATACCTTCATAATAATATCTTTATGGAAAAATAGGAATTAGAAAACAAATAAACTGAAGTATTTGCAACAAAACATTCTAAGTACAATGTTGGTGAAAATCGAAGAGTATTAAGTGCAATTTACTTACGCTTAAAAAATCTTCAGTTTTCGTCTGCCGGAGCAAGCTGAGCGGCTAGGTCACGTATTTTTTAAGGACATGCATATATTTGATACCGGTCGTTCTCGACTTGTGTTTCAAACCAATGCAAGGCAATATCTCAGCAAGTAAACGCTTCTGAAGCACCAATTATGTTTTCATCTTCATTATCTGAACTTGAAGTAGATGAAGTGGTGTCAGTTTTATTAGTCATCAGATTTAATATTGTAGAAATTGAATATTGTTGAAGTCGAAACAAGTGCGCGCACGAGAGTCGGGAGTTCGGATAAGCGGTCGTTCGGTTGATCGACATTCGGATAATCGACGCTCTCTTTAATTACTTTCATTTTTATTAGAGTTAAAACTTATCGATTAATTGATACTATTATTAATACTATTTCAATAATATTTATTGATATGGAAACACAGTGAAACATGTTAAAAAAACACATTCGAATCCTAAAAATACTTTTATATGTGATATTTTTAATGCTTAGTTTCCCATGACGAGAGTGTTAAAAATATTTTTTTAGTTTTAATAATATTTTACTGTTTACATAGTTTTTACTTATTAGCTTGTCCACCAAAAGCCAAAATTGAACAATTCCCTTTATAAACCAATACAAAAGGAAAAACGTAAGTTGCGTGATTGCGAGAAATCACAACGTGTAGGTTGCACTTCGACATGGTCTTAGTACGAACTAACTGAATCAAACGGTGTATTTATTTAAATTCAATCTGTTTGAGCTTCTATACTATAAAGGTAGAACAATTAAACCATGGAAATAATTCTTTTAACCGGGACAAATGTAGGTTTTATTTTATTTCAAGAACTATTATTTTGGAATAGATTTTATTTTTCAGTAGCTATATAATTAACAAGTGTAATATGAAGCTGTCAGTATTTAGAATTCTCACAAAACTGAAGTATGCGTCGAAGTATCCGAAACCATAGCAAATGGACATAGCAAGGAAATTATACTTCGATGTTTTGTAAGCAACATTTTCACATATTTTTTTTTTTTTTTTGGGTTCTCAACCTTATGGGCTCGGAACCACCTTCCCATCAACGGAGGAAGGAGGCGGTGAATCCTTCATTGGATACCAACACAGCCGGCTGTGAGGGTTATGTCAGACTCCTACTGACTAAACACCGCCTTGGACTACTGGTTACATACCCGGAGGCAACGAACCTTCAACCGGAGCGACCGCCCCCCCTCAAGGGGGGGGGGGGGCAGACGTCCCTAAACACTCACATGAATAGTGACGTCGAGATGTTAGCCGTTAACCCCGGGGGGGCTCGGCACATCGGATTGAGGTACGTACAGCTGACTCCCTGAAGGGTCGGATCGGACGGGGGTATGACCTGAAGGGTCTGCGTGTAGAGGGCAGGGAGGGGAGCATCGCATACCACCAGAAGGATGCTATTTGATACCCGTAACAATTTGTGTGGCCTGCATCCTGAAGGGATGCCAGGTCGAGAGGGCAGAGAGGGTTGACCTGAAGGGTCAGTATGATGGGGGTGGATTTGGCCTACTGGGTCTCGTAAGGAGGCACAGGTTGGCCGCAGGATGGGTTGTGGAAGGTTTGGGGGACCTAACATGTTAGTGCTTATGATAAGGCACTTAGTAGCGCTTCGTGTTCACACAGCGCCAGAAGGCGTTCCTGTGTGGACGAAGCGCGACGGAGCTTAGCCGCTAGGGTGGTGATTTTATTTAGGTCGATTCCATGAATCAAGTTGAGGACTAGATTTATGTCATCGGCCATAGATGAAAGAACAGAAGCGGTTTTGGTAGGTGTGACGGAAGCCTTTGGTGAAGGCTTCGTCTGGGGGCCCCAAACCGGTTTTGAAGCCGGTTTGGGGGCGGAATGGTTCGCCTTTGGTAAGGCGGGAAAATTTGCCCCAGTGGGCGGAGGGGGGACTTTAGGCGCTTTGTTGACCACCGGTACCGGACCACACACAGTACACAAGCCGGAGGGGTGAGAGTGTCTCGAGTACGAGAGCACTCCTTTGTGGGGTGTGACTCGAGGCACTTTACGCACCTCGGAGTCGCGGAACAGTTAGCCGCCGCATGCCCATAAAGCTGGCATCGGTGGCACTGTCCCGGAGTACCGCGTCGGTGAGGGGGTTCTACTTTAACCCCGGTAAGGCCGCAGACCCTAAGGTCTTTAGTCTTAAAAATGTCCCGAGCGTTGGGGACATTCGGAATGATGAGTAGAGCCAGTGGGAAAGGCCTGCCGGCTCTACTATGCATCTTGTGTACGGATTCTACAGGGAATCCCTGTTCGTTTAGATCCTTATGGATCAGATCGGTGGCGAGCTCATACGGAACATTTCTTAGAACCGCACGAACTTTGCGCTCCTCTGGGAGAGTGTAGGTATGATAACCCACCTTGTGGTGGGTTAGGAGTCTAGTGAGGGCTCTATAATCCTCACTGGTGGGTGTTTCCACCCGGATAGCTATACCCATGTTTTTGGCATGGGTGTAGTTGATCTTATTTTGTGTGCAGAGATTCGAGACCTCTGCCCACCTTGATTTATCCCGTATAAATAAGGGAGGCGGAGGTTTAGGTTTACCCGGCTGCGGAGTGCATTTATTATGCGGCCGCAGCGG